AGAGATAGAGATAGAGATAGAGATAGAGATAGAGATAGAGATAGAGATAGAGATAGAGATAGAGATAGAGATAGAGATAGAGATAGAGATATGGCCATGCTCACCCAGCAACCCGGCAGAGAACAGGTTGCTAAAAGTTTTGAATCCCACCCTTGCTGAAATAGTACAGGATCTCTTGAGCAGGGGGCTGGACTAGAAGACCTCCAAGGTCCCTTCCAGCTCTATTCTGATTCTGACACGTCTCTTCAACATCTGTTATCCACAAGCCAGTCAACGTGTGACTTTCATGCTCAGGGTCGATGATGGGAATGAGAAACTTAACTCCCTGGGGGCGACAGATCAAGAAGGACAGATTAAGTACAAGACTGAGCCTGCCCATTCGTAGCATCTTTACCTGACTGTCCAGTCCCAGGAGAACCACCATAACAAAGAAGAAACAAGCCCATAATGGGGAGAAAGGCAGCATGACGACAGCTCGTGGATAAGCAATGAAAGCCAGACCAGGTCCTATGGAAAGAAAATTGCTAATATGTTGAGGCCATATAACCAGCACGAGACGTCATGATCATTAGCTCCCCAACCAACTACAGGTAGTCCTTGACTTACAACAGTCCGTTTAGTGACCATTCGGAGTTACAACAGCACTGAGAACAGTGACTTATGACCATTTTCCACATTTATGATCATGGAACCATCCCCATGGACAGGTGATTTACATTTGGATGCTTGACATCTGTTTCATATTTATGTCCATCCTGGGGTCATGTGATCACCTTCTGCGACCTTCTGACAAGCAACATCAATGGGGGGAGCCATATTCACTTAACGGCCATGTTACTAATTTCACAACTGCATGGATTCACTTCAGAAATGGAGCAAGAAAAGTCGTAAAATGGGGCAACGCTCACTCAGCAAATTTCTGACTTAGCAACATAAATTCTGGGCTCCGTTGTGGTCATAAGTCGAGGACTACCTGTATTTTTCACCGCGTCCAAGCTAAGTCCCCATGTGCATGAGCTACTCACCTGACTCAGCTACCTCTGAAATAAGCACGCCCTGTTCCTCTGCCATGAAACCCAGAATGGAAAAAATGGCAAAGCCAGCCACAAAACTTGTGCCACTGTTCAAAAAACACAGAGCGATACAATCCCTAGGAGGAGGAGGAGAGGGAGAAATGACATGAGGAAAGAGCAATAGTTTGCAAAGACATCCAACATCATGGTATATAAGATAAGAATGATATATTTGTATGAAAATGTGCACACCGTGTGTCCCGAAGTTGTTAAAACTAGTTGCATGGATTTTAAATTTTAAAAGCCAACACGGTTCTAGGCGGCATAAACAGAGGGATAGAATCAAGATCACATGAAGTGTTGATACCCCTTTATAATGCCTTGGTAAGGCCACACTTGGAGTACTGCATCTAGTTATGGTTGCCACGATGTAAAAAAGATATTGAGACTCTGGAAAGAGTGCAGAGAAGAACAATTATTCCGTGGAACAGCTTGCCTCCAGAAGTTGTGAATGCCCCAACACTGGAAGTTTCAAAGAAGATGTTGGATATCCATTTGTCTGAAATGGTATAGGGTTTCTTGCCTAGGCAAG